CGGACCATTAACGAAACCACAGTTGTTGGCAAGCCTGGTGTTCTTTGTAGCCTTGCCTCTACCACACTTCGCATTGTCTTTCTGTGACAGTCACCTGAATATTTCTCACACCTGTTAACTAAATCATTGAATGAGACAGGTTTAACCAGGCGTCGCTGTTCAAACAAGTCAGTTCAAATTTAGTGGTGGAAACTTGTCAGCTAATAAACAGGTTTTGAATGCCATTGCAGTGCTCTTCGATAGAACATCAGCGGACAGCCTGCCTTTTGATCCGGATACACTGTTAGGTTTTCTGCGAAGAAGTCCGCCAAATCTTGCAGTGATGGAGGAGGCCGGCGTGTTTCACTTGTCTTTTTCCAGGTAGTCAAATATGAATACTGCTGATTTACAAGGCATCTAAAATTTTCTTTTTTTGAGCTTAGCCAGATGGTAAATTTGTCAATTTCCCTTTACTGGTATATATGTCACTTTTTCTATCACTGACAGGGATTTTCCAGTATGCTGCTCCTGCGTTACTGTCTGCGATCTCTGATGCGCACTTTGGTGCTATATAAAACAACAGAGCACTATTATGTCGTACATGTTTCTTCCTATTCCGGTTACACAGTCACAGTGGCGCCACACAGAATTTTTTCAGTTTTCTCTGCGATTAGCCAAGGTTTTCAGGGGAGTTTCCGTTCGTCCTTTGTGAATGCCATGACCTGCAACATATAAAACATTTAACTCTGCTAGTTTTAATGGCTTATTTATAGAAAAGTATTCACAAACTACACTTTGATCAATGCCCCTACACACAATTAACATCTTACTACTTTTTAAAGACTTTAGACTTAGTCTTAGGAAGTTTCCACACTTAAAATTAGAGCAGTGTACAGTATTGCCCAAGAAACATAGACTAATCTACCCTGGTCAATAACTACCACAAAGCCTTTCAAAACCGCTAAGCACATACATCCCGTACCCATCCATTCACGATACTGCATTATAAGGGGCCTCTCAGTCTTATAGAAACATCGGCAGAGTCTTCCAGTGAGATTGCGCTTGGAGCGATGCTAAACAAGCGATAATGTTTACAATTCCGGATATGTAATTACAACGGAAGAAAGCTTGGCTCCAGCCCACTTAATCCTTACTTTGAACTGGATTGTGTATGGATCACATACGTATTTATTGTCGTTAACGGCAATTTTGTTGTAATTATCATCTTCTTTCTGTTTTGCTATCCTATTAAGTGTTTGAAAATACGAAGATCTTGCTAGAACATTCCGCATCATGTTGTTCATTGACTTTGTGTTAATCCGAAGATGGCCGCATTGACTCTGTGTTTTTAGATATGCGGTGACGTCAGTGAGAACCCTCTATATGCTGCATTCAAATGCTTAGTAATAATACTAACTGCTCATTAATAAAGGTAGCTTATAAATTTTGCCGTTATATAGGCCCTATATTAAGATTAGTGAAAGTGCTATTTTAATATCATATTTAAGCGCTAGTTTTATTAAATAATTACCTTTCCTTGTTATTTTGGGTCTAAGCTTTTCCATTCAGCTACAAATACAGTTCACACAAACCGTTCAGCTTACAATAAAGACGACCGGTTGCGTTGGAAACGACGCGGAACGCCCTCTGTCAGATGAAAACACATTTATTCTCAGTCGGCAAATTTACAACGTAGCAGCAACGTTGCTACAACGTTGCGTCCAATGTCACCAAAATACCACTTTTCTGGCACGTGGTAGTAACGTGGCGTGCTAGCTGGGTAGTTAGCTGTGTAACATAATCGCGTTGGATGCGATTTTAAAAATCCTAATGTTTGTAGCACTGCTCTGGCTCAATGAGAACATTTCGCGATGTTTGCACATTGCAAGTATGCTCACAGTGGGGCTATATATAGGCTTTTTTGTTGGAAGCTTTATCTATTTTAAACCCCAAAGATTGAAATGCAACATTTTGGGTCTATGGAGTAAAGTATTTCCCCCCCCCCCGTTGGTGCCACCACTGGTCATCGCGCTCAGGTAATTATATCAGGGGTGTCATTATATATATCATAATATCATAAAGTGTATAAATATCATGATTAAATGTTAGGCCTAATATATATATATATATATATATATATTATCATATAAAAATGAGTTTATCAATATTAATTATCAAACGGTGATTCATAGGGTAATCGTTGAGATTGTTGTCCACATTTTATAGTTTGAAACTGTCTAGACAGGCTCGGAGGAAAATCTTCGCTTGGCTTGGTTCACTTTGATGATATGTCCAACGTCGTTCCTTTAGTTGAACCGAGTGAATGCAATCCTGGACTTCATTAGTATGGGGAAGGCCAAACACTGTCAAACACCACTCGAATTCACAAAATAGTCCCAGCAACGTGGCATAAGCAAGTGGCCAAAGTATAGCCACAGAGGCAGGCTGTGCAGGCAGTGGCGAAACACATCCAGTGGAAAAAGGACTTCCACTGGAACGACAGCCACAGTGCCACGAAGTCGTTTCTGGATCGCCTTATTAATTATTCGCCGAATCGCTCGATAATTCCATCTCACATTTTACTAACCTGCAAAAATATAGTAAAAAAATTTCCCCTTTAAGCCCTTGTAGCTGTAAGCTGACCACAGGGAATTAGTGCCCAGCTTGTGCATTATGCGCCGAACACATGCCGCAGTCTTGTCCCCGCCAACAAGAGCCAAGCATCTGGCCTGTGTTGAACCTAAAAAAAGTAGGTACAATAATGTTTGCTAGGACGTTTGCCTCATTTACTCCCCCAGAAGCCACATTATACTTATAGTTCATAGAGAGGTCAAATGTCACATATGTTGAGCTGAAATATAAGTGAAAATTTGCTGTTATGAAAATAATGGATGTATGTAATTTTGGTGTAAGTGTGGCTACAACACATAAGACAGTAAAGAGTTCCAAACAAAAACCAACTTTCTCGACCAGATGCAGCACCTGAAACAAAGTCCCACACACGCACGCATGCACGCACATTTATATAAATACCTACATATATTAAAATCTTCCATTTTACAGCTAAAGACTAGAAATTATGTTTTACTGGTACAATAAAAATTAACAAGTTGGTGTGCAAAATGTTATCTAAGGCTCGAAGAAGATATGGCATACCAGTTGCCCACATAGGTCTTTGTCTGAGTCTAAACGTTCTGTCAGCTCACTGAAGCTATCGGTGGACGTCATCGGCCCGCTGACTATTTCATCAAGGTCCATGATGGGCGTCTCCTTGAAAGCGCTCATACGTTTTAGCAGTTTTACCTGCTGCGCAAGTATCTTCTGATTGACCAGCATTGCCCTCATCATGTCCAACGGCTGCTGCTGATAGCCTGTAACATATATTGTGTGAATTATTTACTTGGTTTAACCATGTTTAGCAGCTGTTGGTCTAGATAAAACAACGTATGCAGATATACAGAGAAAGTTGGTTATTACCTGTCTGACGCGATGTCGGTGTGGATGCCCGCGATAACGGCTGTGTCACGAGACCCTCGCAGATCTCTTCATCCTGAGTTGCAGACTCAGAAACAGTGTCACCATAATCTGCAGCTGCCCGGCTCGTACCCGCTTCACGCTCTAATGATATAATGTTGAATAACTTATAATTATGATGTTGTCGAGTTCAAAACGAAACTTTTTTTTAACTGTATTTAAAACTTGACTTTTATATGATTTAAGACTAATTTAAGTGTTCATATACCAGCACTGCACTTTCTACATTAATTTGGAGTCACGCATACATGCATGTTAGCATACATTACATATTATTAGAAAAATATTTAAATATCGAAAAATGGGGCTGGAATTTATTTAAAATTATTTGAATACTTAATTTTAACATTTAAAAAAATTGTAGAGCTCTAGCTGTCCTCTATTCACTGTCAGATTCTATGGTTTGATGGATTTCGCAGCTTCTCTTTGAGGCAGGTTCCTAAACAACAGAACACTCATTAAAGGACTCATGGTACATGAGTAAATATGATACAGGTTAGCTGTTTGTTCTTTATTGATAACTAACATAATCCAGCTATGGACTGGAAAGCAACAATAAATAAATTGGCAGATTTAAACAGATAAACAAAATAACCACAGAAAAGTAAGTTGCTAGAATTCTGTTTTACCTTGTATTTTGGTCCTCCTTTGTGTTTTGGAGCATACTTAAGGCAGTCCCCAATTTCCTCCTCTATCTCTGACGCCTTTGCCTTTGCATGGTTCTTCATGCATGCTCCTGGAAAAAAAGTAACGTCAAACTGATATGTAAAAGCAAGAGTGATAACAGGACATTATATTAGTAAAACACAAATATAATGTCACCTACACTGATAAAACTTGCAATCATTAACCTCACTGATCTTTTTATAATTGACACCAATTCAATATTTTTAAAGCAAATGTATTAGCTTCACTCTGTGACGGACAAATGTCAGACTGTGAAACGAGCTGCACTGTATGTTTAGAAACGAAAACATTGAAATTGTGCATCCATATGAAAAGAAATAGCAGTGTTCATTACAAAAAAGTGACATCTGAAGAGTTTCGACATCACAGCTACACTAGGCTCACATTTTTGTATAACATGGATATTGTTCTTTAAATATTTAGTAAACTTTAAAAAATATGTTTTTGTGGTCATTGGGTATAAAAAAAAATCAGGCATCATAAACATTTTTAATTGCCATGTTGATTGATAATCTGTACGGTGAGCACCTCAAATATGCTTCAAGCAAGAAAGAAGCTTGTTTTTGACACAATACTAAAGAACCGACTGCACATGTATTTTGTTTTTAAAACCTACGTGTTATGAGTCTGGCGACTGATAGCTCTATAAAAGATCGTTTGCCTTTCTTGCCCTTCATGCTGTAGTTGGACCACAAGGCATTGGTCCCAACTTTTCTTAGCATTCTTCTAATAGTATCACCTATGTTGCGGCCGCCCAAGGAAGTCAAATAGCAAGTCTGCAAAGTAGATAATAAGTGCTCTTAGTCAATGACATCTAAAAACATAAAAGTGTAAATCAGCTGTTAAAATTGGGTCACTTAATGTATCTACCCGTAGTAATTAATATTAGTGACTAATATTACTAGCCATTTCAAGTTATAGCAAATAGAATAATAATAAACTTCTTAAATAAAATTTCTATTTTTTCTGTTTTAGTTGCAAGCTTTCTCTTTATGGTTACTGCTATTGTTGACTCTTGTGGTTAGCGCTGACTGACTGACAGACAATATAACTGGTAAAAATGGATTGATATTAAAACTTTATTTTAAGAACACAAAAAACTGACTGGGTATTTCACAAACAAGGCTTTGACTTAGAGGACAATCATTTCAAATATTATTTACACTGGAACTGAAAATATACATACCAATTACAAAAAGAATTTCAAATTAAATGCAAGTAATATAAGAAACAATTCACATACTATTTACACCGGGACTAGAAAAATATACAAAAAGCTTTGAGTTTTAAATAAAATGTGAAAAAAAATTACAAGTTAAAAAATACATCTTTATTTTCAAGAAACATGTCAATTTTTATGCTTCCTTGTTTTTTTGTTTTCTGGTAGTTTTCGACACTCTGGGCAAAACCACTTGCCCTTAGGTACCCTCTTAATTTTAAGGCAACCTATGTGGTACCACTGAACTTTACAGTTATGGTTGTCACAGGCAATCATGTCATCAGCATCTTCCGGCTGTCCACAGTAGCAATAAGACAAGTCTGCATCATTTGCAGTAGCTGTGTTTACTACAAATGATGGGCTCTCGCACAAAGAGGTGAATCCTGTCTTAGAATAAAATTTTCCGATGAGTTCACACAGTACTGCTTTTCTAAAAAATTAATACGGCTACGGTGGCAGAGCCATTATACATCATTTCAATCAACTATCTGACAAATCTGTATAATAAAATGCTGAGCTCCCAACGCTAAAATAGCGATGTTTATCTTTAAGGTATTTTATTCAGGACGGTTTGTCCTGCATGCAATTTTTTCGTTCATAGTAAAATTTACCCTACCCTGTACGGATTACTTAGATTTTGAGCGGATTTGCTCATTTGTGAAGGAACAAATTCGTACGGATTAGGGGAGAGTTGCCGGGATTGGACCCACTAAGGGAAAAGCCTCATTTAAGTTACAAAGAAAGGGTTACAATTTTACTTGTATATATATTGGTTATATTGGGGTTAATACTCTACCATGGGCCATTGTAATTTGGTACAACATTTCATTATTAGAGAATATATACAATTCTTTTTTTAGTCTAATGTGGTCCAATCGGGGAATCAGGGTCCACAATTGGACCATGAAGTGTCTTCAATTGGACCATGCTGGGTCATATATTTATAAACAATATGAACTGGGCCCAGGAACTGGGGTCATGTCTTCTGTGTCAGAACTGTCACCTGGAGACTGGGGCTTGCCATCTGAAATCATGTTGGCTTGCTGCCTATTGGGTCCAGGAACTTGGTTTATGTCTCCCTTTCTCCCTTCCTCCTGTTGCTCACTGGGCTGAGGATCAGTGCGGCTGGCCTTCATGTTAGAATTGTTATTTGTGGGGGGTGGAGCATCCCTTGGTACATCTTCACTCATGTCGGTAAGTGTGGCAGCAGAAAAGTCAGAATCTTGGAAGACATTCATGTTTAATGGCCATAAACCACATTTTCTGAAGCCATTTACTGCATTCTGGACTGATGCAGCTTTTCCGCATGCCACGTTCAGAATTTCTGCCACCTGCCTGTCACATGTCGGCCAACATGCTCACGCATCCAAACCCGCAATGTATCATCGTAGTACTTTCCGAAAGAGCCAAAGAAAGCAACATCTAATGGCTACAAGCGATGAGTACAGTGTGGAGGCAGTGAGACCATGACCACCCCTGCATCACGAGCCCTTTTTATGGCCTCTTAAGTTTTTTGTGTGTGATACATGTCCATCAAGAAGAAGTACTACATTGTTTTCTTTTGATGGTTTCACAAAGTCAATGAAATGGTTTAACCATGTCAGAAACCCTTCATTTGACATCCAGCCTTTTTCCTGACAAGCATACACTGCTCCAGAGGTACCGCCACTCGTGAGCTCGGGATTCATACGTTTGCGTTTATAGATAACCATTGGTGGCACATAATTCCCTGCAGCGTTACAACAAACCACACAGGTTGAACTGTCTCCCCTCTCTTGGCTTGTTAGTGCTCCAATTTGTTTCTTTCCCCGACGTCCGATTATTTTCCTGTGTTCATCCTGCACTGTGGACAGACTTGTTTCATCCATATTGTAATGTCTATGAGGTGTTAGTTCTTTCTTGTCATAAACATCACCCAGCAACTTGACAAAAGCTTTAACTCGAAGTTTGTTTAAACCTTGAGCACGTGCTATTGATGTACCTTCTGGTTCTCTTAAAGACAGATCTGGGTGACGACGCATAAACCCATAATACCATTTTT